TGGTATGATGTTCTTCTGATCAAATGTAGTCCTTGATTTTTGCCAAACATGGCTTCAGGTACTGTGGCCAAACATCTCTATCTTTGACTTGCCTGTCCGTAGCACATTGTTGTAGATGTCGTGGTCCTTGCCTAGATATTAGTTTGCAAACTTTTTTCTTGCCCCAATTTTCTTTTTAGACAGCAAATCCTACAGGCGCACCTCCAATGTAGGTCAAATTTGTGCAGTCTTGTTCTAATGGTAGATGAAATTTTGGAGTTCTTAAAGACTTCTTTTAGCATCTTACAGTCTGTTCTGGGGTTAAAATTGCTGGGGCAACCTGGCTTGTACATGTTGCGAGTGGTTTTAAATCTTCTCTTCTTGTAGATGATCTTCCAAACAGTGGAACTGATTTCTAATATTTTGGAAACCATTCTCAAACCACTTCCCAGGCTCATAGGCATTCACCTTCTGAAGGCCTCTGAGGGCTCTTTTAGTCATTTTTAGATACTCAAACTCCAGTGACAAAGAGCAACCCAGAGCAGATGTCTAAGGCTTAAATAACACTCTCAAAAGTACTCAAAGGTAATTTTCCAGTATTGTAATAATTTTTTGGTGGGCCCCATACAATCATACAATACTACTATATATACACCAATCAGGCATAACATTATGACCACATCCTTGTTTCTACGCTCATTGTCCATTTTATCAGCTCCCCTTACTATATAGTTGCACTTTGTAGTTCTACAATTACAGACTGTAGTCCATCTGTTTCTCTGCATACTTTCTTACCCCCATTTTACCCTGTTCTTCAGTGGTCAGGACCCCCATGGACCCCCACAGAGCAGGTACTATTTGGGTGGTGGATCATTCTCAGCATTGCAGTAACACTGATGTGGTAGTGGTGTGTTAGTGTGTGTTGTGTTAGTACAAGTGGATCAGACACAGCAGGGCTGCTGGAGTTTTTAAACACCTCAGTGTCACTGCTGGACTGAGAATAGTCCGCAAACAAAAAATATCCAGCCAACAGCGTCCTGTGACCAGTGTCCTGTGACCACTGATGAAGGACTAGAGGATGAGTAACACAAACTGCAGCAGCAGATGAGCTATCGTCTCTGACTTTACATCTACAAGGTGGACTGACAAGGTAGGAGTGTCTAATAGAGTGGACAGTGAGTGGACACAGTGTTTAAAACTTCAGCAGCACTGCTGTGTCTGATCCACTAGTACCAGCACAACACAAGCTAACACAACACCATCACATCAGTGTTGCTGCATATATAGTAAGGGGAGCTGATAAAATGGACAATGAACGTAGAAACAAGGAGGTGGTCATAATGTTATGCCTTATCGGTGTATATATACATATTTGTTACGTACATAATGAAGCTTTTCAAGAGCTGTTATAAGAAGAGTGTCTCACCGGAAACCACAGTTCAAAACAGACTCAAGTAAGGTGTTTGTTTATCTCCAAATCAGTGATGATCACAGTGGAAGCGTGTAGGGGATGTGCTAACTTGTCATCTGAAAATGCCCTTGTTCCCCTGTGTTCCCGTGTTCCCCTGTGTTCCCCTGTGCTCCACTCTCCATGGACTGAGACGAGAGCATGGTTTACTTACTTTCAAAGTCTTTTCTTCCAGCCCAGCATCTCATGCGCCTTTTTCCTAATTAGCATATTTCAATTTCCTGTTCCACTGTGGGAGAGACAGCTAAACAAAGCGAGGGAGACCCAGGGGGAGAATAACACAAGACAGGCGCAAAGAACGAGACCTGGAGTGCAAGAATAAGAGAAAGGTAGCATAATCACACAAGCTGCCTTAAAGTTAAAGACTCTCTTGGAGATCGACAAACTAAAATTCATCCGTTCATTACAGTGAAGGAGAAGAAGGCATTAAATGCCTGAAAAAGTATTCTGATCAATGAACAAGTGCACAATCTCTGCCTCTGTATCTGCATTCTTTCCCTCACTATCTCTTTCTGTGACGTGTTTCTGTGATGTCTTGGACTGGGCGCTGATGTTGCAAGGAAATGCTTCTCTCTCGCTCTCTGATGTCTTCCTTACGCGATGTGGTGGAAAACAGCTGAGGCTGGGCCATAGCACAGACAGAAGAGTGGGTAGATGTGACGAACTCATCTGAGAGTGATGAGTGATTCTAGTACTCTGAATGGGAGCATTCTCTCAAATTCAGCCAAACACCCACTTAGGTGGAACACAGGAATATCAACTAGTGTACAGAACTATACTCTCAGCCTTTGAACTACAAAAAGCCAATCAGTTCACATAAGCTCTGCTTAATGCAGATTGTTATGCTGGATAGGGTTCCCAGTCTTAATGGTTCAACATTCATTTCATCTATTAATATGGACAGTATTACACTTTGCTCGTCCTAGATTTAAATCTGTGGCTTTTGCAGCAATTTGGGCAAAGTCAGTTGAATGTGAATACTGGTTGACCTTTAACAGGAAATATAGCATTCGGAAATGTTTAACTGACACCTAGACCACTAGTTATTAGCTGGCGGTTGAATGCAAAGGGGAATTTTTCTGTGCAGAATGCATTATGAGGTAATGCTAATCATTAGAGGAAGATGACTTATCAGCATGTATAAGTGTTAAATTGCTTTGTCTGTCACTTTTGTTCTTGAGCAGCTTTTGAAAAGTCCCTTTTTCCTGCCCTATCTAATATTTAAAAAGAAAAAGTACATGAATGTTAACCAAGCAGCCTTTTTGGGATTTTACACTCTTAAAAGAAAAGGCTCATGAAAAGTTCTTGTTTTGGGCACAAGGTTCCTAGAACAACCTTTACTTGGTACAGAACCCTTACAATTTCATTTTTCATTTCCAAAAATCGTTCTTTGAAGAACCATCCGTTGGAAGGTACTTTAGGAAGCCAGTAGTGGTTATATTCTAAGGAAGTGCTCCAAAGAATTGAATTTTGGGCCCATTTACTTTTAAAGGTTTAATAGCACAAACATACTATTAGAGTCTCATTATCTGTCTCGCCATACGAAAGTAGTACAGACCAGCCCCCCACTATCACCATATTCATATATTCTTCAAACGCTGTTACTCAGCTGAGAGAAAACGTGATTAAGCAAATCTCAGTCGCTGACACTCTTTCACTTTTGAATCATAATAAGGGTCTCACAGCTGAGTCACCACAGATGAATACAGTACAGTAAAGTCAAGCAACCCCACAAGTTGCGGTCTACCATTGTTTCCCATTGCCACAATAGGTTAATGGAGGGATGAGTAGAGGGTAGATAAGGGGAGGGCCACTGGGGGCCAATAAAGTATGCTATATGTTTATGCAAATTCGGCCTGACTTCACATCAAATGTTTGCTCTTTTGTCCTTTGTGGGAGCCCACATTTGACTCAAACTTTCTGATGAGGGGGGTTTGTGGAGACTATGCTAAAAGCGTATGCTGACTGCTATGTCACTCCCACTTACAACAAGAGTCAACGTTACTGTCAGTGTTAAAGAAAAGCTTTTATTTCAGTTCATTTTTTAACACAGGAATAAAGCCTTCTGAGACAAAGCGGTTTTCTCAGTGTGGCTTTGTGAATACATTCAAATGTTTAACCCTTAGAAACAGCTTATATTTAAACAGAGAAATACAAACAAACCAGAAAACCTTGTACAACTCTGTCAGTATTACCTGAGATATGTTTAACTTAATAATGGAGAATTTACAGCAGAGCTTCTTTCCTAGAGACATTCAGCTAAAGTGATTTAATTGCTGTGCTCACTTTGTCACTGTTTAGTGGCCCACAGAGTAAGAATCATTCTAAAGATGCTCCTGAAACAAAAAAAAGGCAATGTAGATAACATAAAGGTGCCATAAACAAGATTCTGAATGAATCAGTCAAATGAAATAAAAACAAATGGAGAGAGTAGAGAAAATATAACAGATAAAAAATGACCTGAATGGAAAATTGAGCTGAAAATGCATTCATTAAACAATACAAACATGTTCACAAGGAGAGTGTAAAATAGTAAACAGATATGATCTAAACTGAAAAAAAATGTTACAAGACATGGTAAAAGTAAATGTGATGTCAAAAATAATGTTTACATTTCTTAGAAATAAAAAGACATTTCATCCCTAGAAACAAAAAATGTCAACTGTAGTGGTTTTTCGAGTTTCATTATTGGTCCACTGAGTAAGCAGCCATGTAATAAAGGGCAGATTTGAGCCTGATATGCAAAGTATATGGAAACGGTATGTAAAATAATAAAAAAAAAAAACTTTAGTTAAAAATTTTAAGCTAAAATACTTAAACATGCTTCTGTGGTAGAATCATTGAAACATGAGTAAAAATGAGGGGAGTCACTGCTGTGATTTCTGTACATATATAATATGTAATGAGATTAATGAGTAACTTTTGTCAAGTCATATCAACAATAATACATTCATATAAACTCTTATATTGAAATAAACTAGGCCAAACACTTAAAGTGTCATCATAAATAAATTAGGAAAAAAAGATACCCCAAAATAAACACAACACAAATATATACAGTTTAAAACTGGGTGTTTCATACTCATTAGTATCCTCCATAACTTACCTAGAAGCATGGCCTTTTATTCTTTTCATGTAATATTGTTCTATTCATAGACCAACTGAGGCCAAAATCTAAGAGTGGACACTTATAATGTTACACACAAGATACCCATACAATAAAAAATACTACAATATAAAAATATATACATGTACACGTACACAAACTGGTCATACAGTAACACTATGAACTGATTTATCGACATTTAGTATGTTAATTTTGCCTGTTTTTGGGTTTCAAAAAGAATTTCAAGACTGTTGAACTGTTCAACTGTTAAATAACCATCATTTCTATTGTCACTTGATATAAGGTGGCAACTTCTAATGGTGGGTAGTGCTCTCTGTGTTTTGAGGTATGACCAGCCTTTTCCCATATACAGAGTAGAATCTGTAATAAAATGAACTGCAGTATGAAGTATAGCCATTTGTCCTTGAGAGAAAAAAAGCTTGAAAACAGAGCCACAAAAATGGAGAAAAAAAACTACAACTTAAAGAGAAGATTCACAGGAAATGTACTCCTTCATTAAACATTGTGATGATACAGACTTTTTTGCCAACGGTTTTATGAAGTTAGTTCAAATTGATCCTAGAGTTGCTGCAAAATATGCTGGACTTCCTTGACTTTTTAGTATTTAAAAATATAGACTTGATTAATGGGTATGAATGGAATGTTTTTAGTCTTTCGAGGAGAAATCTTAAAGACACTTAATGAGAGGTACGAGAATGAGGAACTAACAAATCATTTTCCATGAATCTGGCCTTTAAGAAACATTTATAAATGTGTTCTTCTACAAAGGTGCAGACGTAATTCAGTGAAAAGTGAACTCAGTTTCCCAGATAGAAAATCAGTCTGTACATTACCACTGTCACCCTCAACATTACATCCATGCAGGCAGTAGACAAGGAAGACTTCAGCTGAGTTTTATTATGCCCAGGTACGTGTTTGCCTTGTCCAGTCTGACTGAAGGCCTGCAGGTAACCTTCAAAATAGTTCCTCCAGATATAAGGAATCCCTTTCCCATAAATCCTGTAGACCGTGATCCATTAATATGTCTCTCTAAGATAGTTTTTTCTGATTTGAGGCTTTTGTCTGTTTCATGTAAAATGTCCAACTTAACTGTGTAGGTCACATTTGGCTTCAGGTTCTCCAGGGTCACTTGCAGGTAGAGGAAATAATTGCCATCCTCCTGCACTTCCACTTTAACATTGCCTTTAACATTTTTCCACTTCAGTTCAACACTTCCATCAGCACTTCTGTCTGTGGATTCTAAGAGAAAAGAGAAAGAATATTGCTGGTGAGAACACTTCATAAAAAGGTTTCAACAAAAAACTATGGTGGGTCAATATGTCTGAGGACTTCAAAATAAAAGGTCAGTCTTACCAGAGAAATCATACGTTATTAGTTCAGGGTGGTTGCTCTTGTCTGGGACCTGTGGAGACAGACAATCATCTGATTCTGCACATGGCTATCAACAGCACTATGAAAAGTCATAGACAGAGCTGTCTCCAAGAGATATCAGTTAACATGTAGCATATCACTGTTGTTGGAAGAAAACCGTGTATCTCCAAAATGATATCTTTACAGGAAAAGGAAAAAACCTACTTTACTTTTAACGTAAGTCAATGGAACCAGACTTTTTTCCCCAAGTCGTTTTGGGTGGTTTCTTTTGGTCCATTCATCATGAAATTTACATACATTATAAAGGGCAACAGACCTTTTCAAATTTTGTCAAAAACTGAAAAACGACAAAAATGGAGATATGAGGTTTTCTTCCGACAGCAGCAATATAATACATATAACACAGAAATACAGTAATTATCAGATGGTCTGTTGTTGTCCAATATGTGGTTTTTGGCCACAAACAATCAAAAATCAAACTTGTTTTGTTTGGTGGGATGGTGATCTTTGTTTTTTGCATTGATTTTTAAATGCATGTCACTGGTGTATTTTGAATAGAACACAAGAGTTTCCCTAAAACAGAAGCATCTTGCCAGTTCCATAACTTAAATAATATGAATTTACTGTGGAGTGACTCTCATTGTCTGCACCTATCATGTACAATACATCAAAAAGGAGAAGCTGTGACTCATAGCAGAATATCCTGCCTTGTCTCATCTCTGTGGTTATTTCATTTGCTCACTGAAAATTACTAAGACATGAAATACATTCCCCTCCCCTTTCCCAAAATGGGACAACTGGTTCCACTGCACTGCCCCTGCCTCTAGATGCAGCACTGATGCCTGCAAATGAATGCAACATGATAATAAACCTTAACCTCCCACAAGGCTTCACACCTTGGTAAACACTGCAAGTCATGTTCTGGATGATGGAACAAAGTGATATGCCAATTTGATGCTGAGACATGCTGACATGTTACCAGGCACAAACAAACTGCAGTGGATGAACACAAGAAACCCATAGAGCTACTGTGTACTTTTCTTTCTAATTGAGTGCCCTTATGAAACTGCTGAATCTGTATATGTATTTGCACTGAAAAAGAGAAACAAACAAGTAAGTGCACTGTTGGGAGAGCCAATGGATTCAGACATTCACTCGTTTCATTTTCAAACACAAGAGTTTACATGTCACATAGGTGTTACTACTGAACTGAACCACTAGAGTTTCTTCAGATCTGTTCTATTACACTGGCATTAAGGATATTTAATTAAAGGCTACAAAACACTCCATTTTATTTTTTTAGCCTATGTTTAGAATCTGTTTGAATATGCAGAGCATGTTCAGGTATGCTCCTTGGGCCCTCACACTCTATAGGTCCATGAAAGCTTGTGCATGGAAGCCTCTGACTCTTGCTTTATTACAAACTACCCAAATGATTCTGTTCGAGTCTGCCACTGACTTGTTACGTGTTGTCTCTGAACAAACTGAAACAGGCATTTTTTCAGTGATACGTCAAAGATAACTCATTTACGGAAATGTTCTGTTACACGTGTGAACTTCACCTTTATCTTCGGTGACAACAGTTTACATTGCAATGTCTGCTACTTATGAAGTCCAGGGCTATGGAGGTTTTGTTTTCTCCTTTTCTCAACATTGCCAAGCTATATTTAACTAAGCCAAACTATCAACTGTGAACATTTTTATTTGCCTTTTTGTTATGAAAAATAATGACTGAAGAATCACTAAAGAATGACTTTTTATAGGCATTTCAAATTGAAATTAGAATTTGGCAACTGGCTCCTGATGTCAGTTAATTTACACCTCCAGTGTACATCTGCAACAAGTATAACTGTGTTACTCAGCAAGCGCTGATTACACATTTAATTTAACACTGTCCATTTCACTGATCTCTCAAAACAAATCTAACATTCATGTCATGCCTTACTTTGGTGACAGTACACAAGCTACTGCCAAATAGCACAACTTAAACCATAACATACCACTTTGTTGGAAGGTCTAGGAAGGATGAACTGGAGAGAGATGGAGACAGCGACGCCCAGAGTCATGAAGAAGGACCACACTAGCAACAGCCAGACCAGTCTCCTCAGATGGGCCACATGTGGCCCGTTACTGCTGTCCAACTCCTCGTGCTGCCGCCCAGATCCAGACATAGCGCAGCAGATGACACACAGACAGTCTGCTGCCGGGTAAAAGTGACCGGGAAGAAGTGAGACTCCGGCGATAGATGCAAGCGGGACGCTGACAGATGAAGCAAATGTGGGAATGAAGAACTAGAGAGAGAGAGAGAGAGAGAGAGAGACAGACAGTCTGGTTCTGCTCCTTGCCTTCAGCTTGGGCTGCTGAGAAACCTCAGACTGACTTGCACTTCCTGTGCTGCTGGGTTTTTGCGTGGAGGGTGAATTAAAGGAGTGTCAGCATGCATGCGTTGTGTGGCTTCCTGAGCAGGTGTCCTGGAGGAGAGGTGTAGTGTACTTTCCCCCCAGAGTACTGGTGATACAAGTGAAGGAAAGAGAGAAAAGGCAGAGAAATAGAGAGAAACACCTCCCTCCACGTAAAGGGACAGGCCCTCTCTCGCAAGCCGATGTCAGATAGAGGAAGCAGACCGACGCAACAAACAGAAGCCATAACTCTGCGGAAACATGCTGCATCAAAACAATTACGCAGAAAAACATCATTGGTGCCGCAAAACCTCAACTCAAAGATGGACAGCATGGAAACTCAGGCAGATAGCCTACGGAGATATGGGAGAGCCATTCACATTATCTTTAAACTTCCCATTGTTCCGTCACCCTTCTGTATTCTCTTTCTCTTTCTTTTCCAAAAAAAAGCAAAGGTCTGGAGTAAGGATTCCCCTTCTAAGGTATGGGCAACACTCGACCTTTAAGTTTAACCTCTACTATCTTCCTGTGGGTCACTGACCTGCCTTGATCAGATCTAAATGATGATAGATGGCTCTGAATAAGCGGAATCCTTCTTTTACACTCATGACTGTATATATTAACAATAGCTTATTGTGTTCTGAGAAAGGCTGTCTGTCTTGTGCAAAATTCTGCTTGAAATGCAAAAAAAAAGAAGATAGTGAGGTTCAAACTAAGTAAAAGTTTAGTCATGATAAATCACTGAGTAATTAAGTGCTCTTTTTTTTTTTGCATGTTGTCTTTTGTCCAGGACTTTCCATCATGATAATTCATCGGAAGTGCCACAATTCTACTTCATTAATAATTTCCTTGGTCTGATGTTGCATCACAAACTTTTTCTCGTCAGAAATAACTTTCTGAATCAATAAACAGTTTCAGATGTGGCAGGGCCAGGGCCAACTGGCGGGCCCAAAATTGTATTATATACTTATATAATCTAAGAATAGCTCAACTGCACGGAACTTCATGTACTGATACTGAATAATAAGCCTTAGTATGTACTAAGGGGCTAATCAAAATTGGAGTCATGAATGAGATGAATTCTGTATCAGTGTTAGCTGAACAGAATCTATTTTAATTTCATTTTTACACTCAAATGCACACAAAGACAAGCCTAACCATTTCAAATGTCCATATGTCAGACAATAAATTCTCACCTTCTTATTGTTCTTTTATATACATGTCTTGACATGTCATGTCCTGGTCTGTTTAGGCCTGTGGTCTCTCTGGGAAAGTTTCACAAAAAGAAAATGACGTCAAACTCTTTGAAGCTCCTTTTTGAACCTCACAATCTTTCTCCTCAACGTGTCTCTCTACAACTGAGGGGAGAAAAAAACATTGATAATAAACCAGTGACCCAGATGAAATATCCAAGTCCCCCACAGGCAAAAATAACATCCCAAAGACTATTATTTTAACCTGACAACAACCAATACTGACAGCAACCATGAAACAAGCAGCAAAATCAGAAAATGGAGCTGTGCAAGGTGGAAAGAAGAACTAAAAAAGAATCTGATAGAATGTCTGTGATTATCTGTGACTTAATCTGATTAGAATATTGCAATATTTTCAAATGTGGATGTTAGAGGCTCAAGAAAACCAGAAACTTAAAAAAAGACCTTCCTCCACACAAGGTGTGAGAGAAAAGTGTCAGTCTGTTGGCTGGAATGGACAGATATTTCTGCTCTGGCCTCCCCCCACTCACTTTCCACTGTTTCATATGCAACTATTGTGGTCTCTACAATGATCGACAAAACTTGCTCAGTCATTGATATATTAATATGATAAACATTTGTACAGTTATCGGCAATGGCAGTAAATTACCAAAAATAGAAGTCTGGAGTTGAATGTACTGATAATGGAAATTGCTAAATATAGGTCAATAGTGTTACTTGCAAGCAGGCGACCAACTGTATTAGCAGTCTGTGTCTGTGTCACTGTTAGTCTGCCAGGCACCTGGTAGACTCTGGTTGGTGGTGTGGCTTAATGCACACTAGGACTCCATGGGGGATTTCCGAGGGTAAGACTTGTCTAGTTGATAGCAGATGTGGGAGAAGTCTAGAGCCCTGCCAACGTCTACAGGTGTTTGTTTCAGGCCTGGGTCAACACATTATGACCTGATTTCACAAATGAGCTCTGCTTTGAAACTAACATAGTACAATCAGATCACTGTGGTCAGTAGACAGATGGTGATGAGGATCAAGGACCTAATCATATGGTCTAACAAATTTCATGACAGGAATGCCCAGTGTGGTTATGACGTGCCAGTCAGGTTAAAGGTAGGTGGAGTGGTGGATGATTAAATGATAAGGTTAGGAGTAGGTGTAAGGGTGCTTTTAAATTCGGGTCAAGTCTCAGTAATGGGTCAAGTCAGTAATGTGGTACATTTTGTACCATGCCAATTGTAACTACTCCACCTGCTTATTTCAATACTCATTTTAACATTTCACATTACCTTAGGAGAATCTCTGACACCATCTTAAGGGCCATTCCATTACTTTATAAGCTCAAGTGAACTGTGTTAGATGAGCCTGTGGAGGACCGAGGAACACAAACAGTAAAACTTGTCCAGAAATCAATGTGATCTGATGCATTTCCCGTTCAAAATATATTTCCAAGCTTGATATTTCAAAATATTCAATTTATTATGTTTAGACTGGGATTTGAATAGCAAACTATTCCATCTGTTACATGACACGCTACTAACTACTAATTCCTTTACTCTGCTGGCCTGCTAGTTAGCAAGCCAAAGGTGACACAGCTAGCAACAACAAAAAGAAAGGCAACACACCACAACATTCAGCCATAAAAAAACAGTTAATCATAAAATGTATGTACATTATGTTCTCAAAAAAAGCCTGGCTAGCTAATTAGCTCACTGTGGCTAATCTACAGGTTGAACGTATTTTGATTTACAAATCCACTGCTCACTATCCCCTCATCCCCTTGGGATACAACTGCCCAATTGTGCACTTCTGGGTGGTGAGTCGAAATTGGTGAGGGAAAGTTTAAAAAAAGTGGAGGATCCAAGTATATCTCTTAATCCCCACTATGAGTCTTTTACTCTATTAGTGCTGCATTAATGATTTGTGATTGTCATTAATGATTAATGATTTAATAGGCATGGTCTGAAACTATGCCTATTCACTGTGTTTTCTGCAGTGGTGCACAAAACCTAGTGCACTCTTACAATCCCAAAATACACTGCAATAGGTACTGTATAAAAACTGTACCCTACTGTACACAGCATACCTATTATGCACTCCACTGTATCTGATGGAACGTGACCACTGTCCAAGAGTGATAAGTAAACTCGTGTAATGATCCCTGTATGTAACCTCTGATAGTGCTGTATATAGTACTCATGATTTCATGTAGTGATTTGGGATCATTTCTCTTCCCTGTAATAATGTTCTAGTGCTCTTGATTTTCCAGCACAGGAGGTGATTAAGGGGGTGTTCATACTGTATTTTTCTGAATGCTTAGAAACACATGGACCACTGCATCTCCCTGTTGCTAAGCAAAAACAGCACTGTAACTGTAAATCAGCTGTCCTGGCCAGCTTTCACAACAATGTATAAAAAACTATTATTAACTAGCAACAGTGGTTCTGCCTACAAAAACAAACTAAACTAAAAAAAGGTGTATTTTGGTTACATCATGATTTCAATTGTTATGTTGATAACTCAAGTTAACCCAGTAACTGCAACTATTAACCTCTTCTCTGTTTAGTGTCATCACAGAAGAAGTACTCATGATGTAGGCTACGTGACTCCTGAACTTTTTTCAGCTTAAAGTGCTTGGAGAGCTCCACAAATATTAAAGCAAAGACGATGAGCGAAATGTGTCTCTGCCATTGAAAACAACTGTAAACCATTTCTGTTCCCTGTAGTGGTGTTCTATAGCGGCCCTGGTTTTCTTTTGTAGAGAATGGTGATTAGGTACCATTTCTGTTCCTATACTAGTGTTATACATAAAATGCTCCAGATTTTTAATGTAGGGAATAGTGATTAGGGGATCTTTTGAATCGCAGTACTGGGTCTGTTGAGTTCTTTCTACGCACTGAGCATGGCAACATATACCAGAACTTTACTTTAGGGTTTAAAAATCTTCAATGCTGGAACCACTTTGGTGTTTAAAAATGCCTGACTGTTAACAATGCATTACATTCTCTCACTACAAACAGAGACTAAAGGCTGGGGACATTCTGTCCGATGTGATGTTTTGCTGTTACTCATTTATCTATAGGTCCTTTCAGTGGTGGAGCCAAAAAGCAGTTTCCCCAGATTGCCAAGAAATAAACAAGTGATTCTCTGTCGCCATCTAGAGGTCATAATTTAAACTAACACACTCTAGAGCTATAATCTAAAGCAAAATTAAACTTTGCAGTCAAGGTTGATTTCAGCACTTGATTTCAACGCTAGACTAAATACATCATATTACTACATCTTATAATATTTGCTGTCCAACACACACTAAATACTGAATAATTATGCAAATAACACTCCTTATAAATGCTAAATACATTTATGTGAAGAATTAAGTACACTCAATGAAAAGTTTGGAGATAAATAAAGGTGACATAACTTAAAAAGTGACACTGAGAATTAACATTTTTGTCATATTTTATATAATTGAAATAAACAGTAGTGCAATTTTTATGTGAAAAAAGTAAATAAATATCACTACATTTATTACTATGTCAAACTGAAATCAGGCGCACCTGATCAGGTGCTAATGATTAGAACACCGTTAGAGAATATCTTGGAGGAACTTGTCTCATTTAAACTTCATCTGGTCTGGTTTGCTTTTTGTTATTGGAGTGTGTGGTATCATCATGCCTAGACCAAAAGACTGCACTTTGACCTACATGGGAGGTGCGCCTGGAGGAAGCTTTTGCTGTCTAAAAACAACATCAGGGCAAGACAAAAGTTTGCTAACCAATGTCTAGGCAAGGACCAGAACTTCTGGAACAA